TAGGTCCTTCCTGATGGGTAAAGGTTCATATTTCAAGATATGGGATGGGTCGGGCTGATATTTTCGTAGAGATGATACATGGAAGACATTATGGACGTTTGCCAATAGATAATAATTTATAATAATAATTATTATTATTTTATTATCTATTGCTCTGATACCATAATTGTCATGCGCCAAGAATTTACAATACTGATATTCCTGAGATGTGACAATCAAAACATATATACATCTTTTTTTAGGACAAATTTACAATGGCGAATTCTTACAAAGTAACAAAAAAAAGTTTAAGCATAACTACAATATCTTCCAGAGTTGATCCTGACGAGTACTCCAAATGAAATTGCAGTTATCCTGAAAAATAAAAGTTTACCATAGTTTGATGAGTTTGGCTACTCAGTAAGTGATCATCATAATCCTAAAAATAATTATGGTTGAAAGATATCAATATTTTCAAAAAGGATATCTATTAACAGAAATGCATTAACAGTTTCCCTTTCAAAAATGCATAATTAAGTATAATCTGAATAATTGAAATGCATATAATATTTTAACGGCAGTGCAAATTCAAAGGATTTCAGAAATTACCCTACTGGCGTCCCAAGTAGGTCACCTATATACCCCATCAGTATCCTGATGGGTCCACTTAATCCCTATCGGCATCTCAGATAGGTCCACTTAATCCCTGCAGGTCCACTTATACCTCACCGGCGTATCGGATGAGTCAACTTAATCCCTATCGGCGTACCGGATAGGTCCACTTATACCTCACCGGCGAACCGGATGAGTCCAGTTGCATACTTAAAGTATTTCTAAATCTCTTTAAACATTCGAAAGCAGCAATATCATGTACTCAACATATCACTAAAATTATTAATATGAATTTCACTGAAACCATTCATAACAGTCACTTTCAATAACATTTCAAAAATAATCAGTCAAATATTTTGGGCTCGAATTTAGAAAGGTAGCAGTTCGTAAAAACATTTTAGCATAATTGCCAATCTAATATGTATAGAAAAACTCTTATAGAAATTCAAAAATACGGAATTATCACAATTTATGGGATGTCAAATCGCAAATAAACATTTCACAAACAATGCTATAATCAAATGCAAAAATATCAGTTCTCAAATAACAAGGCAGTCATTTGCACATGAATTTTACAATGTCTAAATATTAAAAAACAGTAGAATGAAATCTCACAATTTTACTAAAAGAAGAAATATCACATTTATTTCTAATAATTTTACAGTATCTAAAATTTTCTAACAATAGACAAGAAAAATAAATAAATTTATTTCTAAGAATTTACAGCATTTAAAATTTCTAACATAGATAAAATATCACACTTTTATTAAGAGATTATTTTTCAAAATAATGAGGTCATTTGGGCATAAAATTTATTGCGTCAAAAATTCATGATAATAAGCAGAAGTAATTATTTTATTTCATTTTTAAAAAGAACGGATTATTTTTCAAGATAATGAAGTCACTTACCTAAAATATTTGAGAGGGAGCTTCCGATAAAAATTCGGCTAGAGAGAGGAGCTTGCAGTGTTTGTAAGAGAGAGAGCGAGAAAGGAGTTGTTAGGGGACGTCGTACCTTTCGTCCTATTTAATTTCTTTAAAGCACCTCCACCTCATACATGAGGTGTAGCATTAATAGTAAACATCTAATGTTTACAACCTACGTCCACTAAAGGACATGGCAGAAGGTAAGAAAAGTGAAGGGTAAAGAGATATACAAGTAGTGATGGTCCCTAAGGACCATAATGCCTATATGGACCATCATACTATAAAGAGTTTTTTATTTATTTATTTTTTATTTTATTTTTTTTAAAAAAAGTTTAGGATTGTTACACTGCTCGAACTGGTTGGTTGGTCCAATAGTAGCTTTGTGGCTGGGGTACCCTATTGTAATTTTGTGTTTGAGGTGGCTACTGTTGAGGCTCCCCTTAACTCCTGGGTGATAACCCTCGAGAGGTATCTAATATTTGGCAGTGACTGCTGTGCTGACTGGGTTTCTTTGTTTGCTAACACGGGGGTTTGATCTGTTGCTGACAGGATTATGAGTTTGACCTCCCCCTGAGGTCTGAGCTTGATTTCCCTCTTGTGCCTTAACAAGCTTTCGATTTTGGTTGTCTTTGTGATCATGTCGGAGAAAGTGGTGGGATTAGTAGTTTCGACATGTAAGGAAATTTCTTTCTTCATGTTCCTTATGCACGTTTGTACAGCAGCAATCTCAGTCATGGGATTGATCTAGCACATGGCAAGGTCCCTCCATCTCTGGATGTACTCGTCCACTAACTCATTCATCACCTGAGTCATTGTGAGAAGTTCTATTGTTTGAACATTTAGTTCTGCTTCATAAAAGGGCTTGTAAAACAACTGCTCCATCTCTTCCAAGGAATGAGTTTGGGGGCAAACGTGCGTACCACTTAAAGGCGGGTCCAATCAAAGTTTCCACAAACTGCCGAAGAAGTAGTCTGGAGTCTTAGACCAATTCCTGACATGCTGACATGAAATGAGCCACATGCTGCTGAGGCGAGCCTGTGCCATTGAAGATTGACAACCTTCCTTTTTGATATCCGATGGGAAAGGGGATTTGATCAATAAAAGGCGGATAAGGCATTTTGTAATGGACACTTTCTTGTGTCTTTGAAGCTTGTAAGCCCTAGATGCTTTTATTGATCATTCTCATTTTTTATTAAATTTGAGATAGTTTCTCTCTCTAAAAATTTATATATACTTTCCCTCTTTAAATTCTGATATAGTTTTTCTCTCTAAAATTTTAAGATACTTTTTTCTCTAAAAGCTAAAATTTGACATAGTTTCTCTCTATAAAAAAGTTTTGAAAATTTATCTCTAAAATTATATATGATTTCTCTCTAAAATTTTAAGATACTTTCGATAGAACTTAAAATTTGAGGTAGTTTATCTATTTAATTCATAGGTTTGTTTTGGCGGAATTTATTGTATTTTATAAATTGGCATCTCCGTAGTGGGGAAATTTGGCTGGAAATTAATTTTTTAGGGTAAAAGCAAGGATATAAATTTCTATGGTTTTGGCTTGAAATGAGGAAAGTAATTTCTCAAAGAAATACTTTTCTGTCCTAAAATTTCAATCGTAACACCCGAAATGTGACATCTCCATAAAAAAATATTTCTAAAGATAGTTGAAATATGAATCCTTAAGGCTCTATTTGATAAAATAGAATCTGTATATTCAAAATTATGAAAATCTGAATAAAGCCATTGCCAAATATGAATTATATATTATACTGGTATGTATTGTTTTTGTCCATATTTGATTGCATTTTATAAATAGAAATAAGGGGCAGTATTGCACGACTCTCCATCTTTCTCACTATAATTTCGCTCTGAAAGGGCAACATCTTGTGATAGAGTCTGAACATGCATTCTCTCTAATACCTACCGTGCAATTCCTCTCTCTCTCTCTCTCTCAACCCAAAATATTGTTTTTCTCTCTAGATAAGCAGGTACCCCTAATGCCAAGTTGGTTTTTTTTTGCCCTAAAAACAAGGGCAATATTCCTTACCTGAGCTCTTAATTTGCAGAGAAGAAACACAAGATTTCCTTGAAATCACACTTACGAAGAGCATAAATTGAAGAAGATCGTCAAATTATGGTTAAGATTAGACCTTTTACTGGAAAAATGAACATAAGCTTACCAAACGACTTCAATTGCAGAGAATAAATTGTAGACTCTTGCCAAATTAGGTATAGAAAATGGTTCAATTATAGATGAGAAGTTGCATAAAGTTGAAAACCAGTGAGATTAGAACTAAGAAATGACCACATATTGCATAGAAAATTGTGAAATTAGAGCTAGGAAATGGCATCAAATATTGAGAAAAAGTTGCATAAATTTAGAGATTGTAAAAATATAGTCTTTCAAAATGGCTAGGCTAGGTTTTAACTTTCGACAATGCAAAGAGAGATGAAAATTGTAGAGAGAGATGAAATTGCAGAGGCAGATGTAACAAAATTGTAGAGAGAGATGAAATTGCAGAGACAGATGTAACCTTAACCTCTACTTTAATGGAGGTTTCGGTTTTGCCAAGATAAAATTGCAAAGATAGATAAAACCTTCACTTAGTTAGAAGGGCCTTAGCAACCTTAGCCTTTTCTTTAACGGCAGTTTAAGTTTTGCAGGCAATTGTCCCCCAATTCGAAGTATCGTAGGGCAGTTTTCTGAAGTAAGATGAGATCTGAAGAAGCTAAAGCCATGTTGTAGAGCTTGGTATACTAGAGATGGAGGAGTCTGGAGAGGTTTCTGGTAATTTTCATTTTCCAGAGCGATTTGGGCTCAGTTTAACCAAAATCTGATGATGGTGAGCTTTAATGGGAGTTGTATTTTGCTAATGCTTCGCAATATAAAGGAAATAGTCTGGCTTTTGAGCTCTAATGGGATCTTTATTATGCTGTTATTAATGCTTGAAAGTAACAGGATCCCCTAATTTCTCCATTAAAGAAAAACGCATCCCTAATTTCCATTACTTTCTTCACCCGGACTCTCCATCTTGCTGAGCTTAACTAGAGAAGCCCGTTAACAAGTCGAGAAGTTAATGAGTCTAAAACAAAAGATGATTTGCGTGTTGAAGACCCCATGTTTGAACAACCTCTTCTGGGTTTTTGCTTACCATGTGGGTGAAGAAAGCAGCAGTGTGCCACTTTTTCCATTGGATTTGTAGAAAGAGAGAGAGATGAATTTGTTCATAGAGAGAATACTTATGTTATATACGGGAATTTGAGGTTTACTTGGGGTCAAACCCTAAGAGTGATGTCTCGGGCTTACTTTTGTAATTCTTGCACTTGCCGTTTTGCCTGGAGAAATTCTGAGGCCATGTTTGTATATGCACTCTGCTACACAATTAAATATTTCATATCTAAAAAAAAAAAAGTTCTAAAATAGAGGTGGATAGCGAAACATGCACAAAAAACGGCACACAAAGATTATATGTAATTCAGATATATGAAAAAGCAACCAATACCTTTATTCATTTCCTAAAATTGAAATATTTAGATTCTGTTTTGTCAAACAGACCATTTAATCCAGACAGACCATTTAATCCAGACTTCTATTTCTCTCTTTTTTGCACTTACAAATAAATCAATCGGCCTTATCTTCCACTGCCTCCATGAACTCCTTGTATCTCTCGAGTGCAGCCATAACATTTTGATTCATGTAAAAATGCAGCTCGGTGCTCCCTCTGCCCTCTCTGGCTGGGAAAGCAAAAAAATTGCCATCAAACCTGCTATCATATCCCACGTGCACACCCAGCGGCAGCCCCCAGCCGAAGTCATTTCCATACACATCAAACCTTGGCGAATTCCCCATCACCACACCTGGAGATGTCGTGAACCCCATAGAATCATAGAGGGTTGGAGCCTTTGCATTGGCCTCCAACCATGAGCATATTTCTTCATTAGTCTGCTTTGCTATGGCATCTTGAATGAGGTTAGCCCCCCAGCCAAGGTCTCTACCCAGAAGCTCTCCTGATGTTGTCCGCAAGAAAATCAATCTGATGGCATTGCCAAAGAAGTAGGGAGATAGGGGTGGGACCACCCTTGAACGATATGACACCGGCAGAGCGCACCATGTCTCTTGTTCTCCTGAAAGATCACAGGCACGAGTGATGGCACGCCAAACATGGGCATAGAGGGCTTGGAAAACCTCGAGATTTTGCGAGTTAGCCTTGTCTTTGAGGTGGGATATTGAGTGGGCTGGGAAATAGAAGAGTCGATCGTAAAAAGGTGAGGGGGAGGGCTTTGGAGGCAAGGGCAAACTGTCAATTGGAGGGTTGAGGCACACCAGGTGGTTGGTCGCAAGGTACAGCCACTCAATGGCAGGCGGTGGAGATAAGGTATGGGCTTCGCCCTTGTCATTGATATATCTGGAGAGCTCAGACCAGGAGTTCAAGAAGTTCCAGAAGGAGGTCCCATCACCCACCACGTGATTGAAAGAGCACTCAATGAAGAGGCTATCGGCCAGCTCAGTAACCTACGTGATGGTAACAAAAATATAAATTGTGAAATTCCCCATGTTACATAGAAAGATATGTTTACAATAAAAAAATAAAAAAAATATAAAAAAGCACAAACTATCTAGGTTTGTTAGGCATTAGGTATGTCTGACACATCATTATTGCATCCATCAACACAAAAACCTCGGACACAACTGTTCATGCTACATGGGTCTCTTCCCATCATGTAGAACAATAAGTGGTAGATGCTTAAATGGTAATAGGGGGTTGTAGTGAGTAATTTGAGAAAGAATAAATTTATTTTCATTACTGTGATAGTTTCAAGAAAGTCAAAATCAGAAATTCATGGCCCTTTCATTTATTATTATAGTTCTAAGACTCAACACCCTCGAAATCAATGTTGCGACAGTTTAGTGCATCAAGTTAACTTTAAAAAAGGTAAAAGAATTAATGTTGACGGGAAGTACACCATGCTATAATAAACGTTACCCACACACCATTCTGCCTTCCTCGTTGGATTACATGGGGGGAAAGTGACTCTCAACTTTTATTTGATGGATAATGCGCCTTTTTCTTAGTAGTAAAATATCAACTAATGATAAGTTATATTATCTATCCTCCAATGGAGTCTTTAAAATCAAATAAAATTTTGAGATGCTAATAGTTTTTCTCAGTATAACGGGACTCGGCCTCGCCTATAAACCCAGTTGTGTGTACAATTTGGGGATATTAAAACATTATTAAAATCATAAAAAATGTATGATTAATATATCATTTTTGCCTGTATGATTTATATGTTTTTGAAAAAAACTTGTGGGTAAGTGTTCCATAAATCCCTATTTTTAGATTTTAAATTTTCATTGAAATTTTTAAAATGCCCTCAATACTTTCTTTTGCTATTTGAGATTTTTAAGGTTGCATTTTTTGTTTTATTTTGCTCATATTATATTTATCTTATTTTTTAAATTATTTTTTTCATTTTATATCATCTTATTGAGGGAGTTTTAGTCCTATACGTGACTCAGCTGAGTCTCTTGGGCGAGAAAAGGGTAGACCTAAGGTGGTTTGAGGGTTGAGCAAATCACCACTCTAAGAGTGGGACAGGCATGGGAAGTGCCGGCCTAATAGGACCTAGCTGGCTCAGTGCTCTTTTTTTAATAATTTTTTTTTTTTTAATTTATTTGACTTTAGATGACCCGGCCTAGTGAGGGCCAAACTAGGCTGGGCTTGAGCTAGGCTGCCTCGGCTTAGGCCGGGCTTGTTGTGACAGTCCTCAAGACTCGGCCAAGTTATACGTCTTGGCTAAGGAGAGTAACTTCCTCAAGTCAATTTCATGCAGACTGATTTCTCTCATTATTGCTTTTTAGTAATTTTGCATGAACATTAGAAGTTATAACTTAGAACTTCGGAAGCCCTTGGATGCTATCCATTTTTGGCCACTTGCATGGTCAACTAGACTTAGCTTGGCATGGTAATTTTACATGAATATTATAAGTTTTAACTTACAACCACAGAAAGCCTTAGATCCTATCCATTTTTGGCCACTTGCGTGGTCAACTGGACTTAGCTTGGCATAAGTAGTTTCCTAGTGGAATTACTACATCCATCCCTACAAATGGATAAAATCCAACAAATGGGAAGTTCTTGCCCACATCCTTAATGTACATAAGTTTTTTCAGAAATAATATTATTGTCTTTCGTGACATTGTTAGTCTACATGAGAGTTAGGGCCAGGGCCATGTACTCAGCCCTCACTTGAGACCATAGTTAGCAAGTCGGAAACTATCAATAAATCTGCTCACCATAAAATCGGAAACAAATTTTTTTATTTTAAAAAATCAGATGCAAAAATCGAATAAAAAATACGGATCGACAAACATACTTCATATAAAGATATCGCTAATATAATAGATTAGGCTCAAAAATTTGGAGTCAAAAAATAGGATAAATTTATAATATTAGAAATTTTGAAATTCTAAAAAGTAAAAATTATGTCAAAGCCATCAATTGTTAATTCATCTATAAAAACTTTACTAGACTAATATAACTAAGCCAATTAATTTAGATATCTCATGACTCTCATCCAATCATCCAATATTAAATATATAATTAATTAGTATGTACCAAAAAAAGTACCATGTAAATTTACCCATTAAATACTTTAAGAAACATCACACCTACTTAGTATATAAATTTATCATTAAAATACTTTAAATATGGTATGGTGACAAATATATTATAAATTTATTCATTAAATACTTAAACATAACTCCTACTTAGCAGGTACCAAAAAATAAATATACAATTTTTGTTTTCTCATTACAAGTATTTAACTATGGTGTGGTGACTATGGTCACTCCATAACTATGGTTAAAGTTTTATAAATTTCTTTAGTTGAAAAGAAGTTCGTAGAAATTTGGGTTTTACATCTGTGTTTACTGTGTAAAGGGAGAAGAAGGAAGAACGATGAAGGAATAAGGAAGAAGAGAAGAAGAGAAGAATAGAGAAGAGAGAAAAAGGAAGAAGGAAGAGAAGAAAATAGGGCTCAGCTCATAGCCATTAGGGGTTATAAAGTGAAGAAGGAAGAAGAAATGGTTTTCACAAACCCTAATGGAAGGGACCCTAACTGATTTTTAGAGAGAGAGAGAAGGAAGAACCCTAATGGAAGAGGCCCTAACTAATTTTTACAGAGAGAAAAGGAAGATGGGATGCTGATTTAGGAAGATGGAATGCTGATTTGGGATAGTTTGAAGAGGGCTTCTCTCTCTGATTTGGGATAGTTTGAAGAGAGCTTTTCATTTTCTTGAGGAAACAAAGTTGAAGGATTAAATTTGGGGATCTAATCCTATATGTACAATTGATCGCTCCATTAAGTTTACAGTTTGCACAATCAAAAACAAAATATTGATTACTTGGTCCTATAGTCACACTCTTTGCTTCTCATTCATCGGTAAAAAATTATGCTTTGAGCTTTAATTTGTACCATTAACAGTATTTTCATAAAAACAATTATCACAAAATAATCACAACAATCTGCATGTGTATGATTTCTTTACACGATGATGTACTCTACAAAATGATTTGCTATAAACAGTATTTCATTTACACAATGATTTTCCAGAAAGACAACTGAAATTTGCATATATTTGATTAAGTTTAAAAAAAAAATCATACCATCAATCTGCAACTCTGGCTTTGAAGATCACAGTGGGGATAAAAGTTTCTATTTCAGTTTTAAGTAATTTTTTTTTTTTAAAAGCATGAAAGTAGCAATGGATGCAATAGACAAAATAGGAAAAAAAAATATTTTTCAAAAAAAAATATAGGTAAAAAAAGGATACGATTTGTTTCCCTGATTTAAATTGTATTATTAAAAAACACGCATTTTAAACGGGTTTATGAAAATGACATGATTTTTTGCCGACCTTTTCAAAAAGTCGCCGTTTAAAACTGTTTTCATAAAAATGTCAAATTTTTGAAAAAATCCCTGATTAAACGGCGATTTGCTAACTATGCCTGCGGTAAGTTTTTTTGGTCAGGTCTGAGTGACTCACGCTGAGTATTGTATAGGGCCCGAAACCCAAAAACATAAAATTATAATGAAAGCAAAAAAATAAAAATAAAATAAAATAAAATAAAAAAGCTCACATAGTCCAACTAATCTTTAAAAAGTAAAGGAAAAATATTTCTAGAACAATTGATTAATAGTTAAGGACATTAAAAGAATTTTAAAAAAGTAAATAAAAAAAAAGTGATTGTGTGAAAAAATACTTGCCAATAAAAAACAGGATTGTCTATAAAGTGATCATTTATCTTTTGTACATGGAGGTCACAATCATTATTGTCCCTTAAATTTCTAAATGGGTAATTGTAAGAGTATCATTGAATTGACACAAAGTTCAAAATACAAAAATCTCAGACTTTGTGACTCATCCCAAGCCATCCAATTTGACATCTAATGAGTAAGAATGATTGTGGTCTCCATGTACAATCCCATAAAAAACATCCAAATCATCTATAAAACTTTATAAATATTCCCGTATATTTTTATAGAGGGTGAGGTTTGTATAAAGTTGCAACATTAAGCAATCCAATTCAGGCGCACCTCCAAATTTTATCATAAAATGTAATTTTCGTTTAAAAAATTCTTTGGATTATCTAAAAATCTATTTTTATCCATAATCTTAAACTTATAAACTCCGAAAAGTGTTAAAATCAAGTAGATCTATAAACATATGAAACTCTTGAAAGTTGGCGATGTAAATAATATGTTGCAAGATGTATTATTTCTCGGAATCAAAATCTTTTTTTTTCTTGTTTCATATTCATGCATCTCGTTGTCGAGATGATCAGATAGAAGGTTTTTCAACATTAAAACAACCTTTTCTAACGGATTTTTGAGGTGCATCTTTAATTATACAATTAAGGTTGCAAGCTTATATAAAGTTTTCCATTTTATAAATTTTTTGGTTTTTTTTAAAAAAAATTATATACCCCACACTGTAAGTACAACTTGGGGAACATTGCCCTCGCCCACACAGTGAGGCTGAATAAGTTGGTTGTGTTCGAGTAGCATTGGTAAAGTCCGAAACAGTGTTCGCAAAACCGGCTGATCTAACCGCTAACCCGCCGGTTAGATTCGGTTTTGGTGATCAACTGATTTCTTAAAGTTTAAATAGAATACTACTTCACATTTATATCAAATATTTTAGAATGGTGTATTAGTTAGTGTTGAATCCCGCCATCTGCGGTTTTCTTTCTTTTTAAACATTGTGGTTTTGGTAAGAAGTTCAAAAACTTTACTTGCCCACATGAATCGAACTTGAAAGAAGTTCAAAAAATTTACTTGCCCACATGAATAAAACTTACAAGTTATTATAAAGAAATAATTTGTTATTAAACCCACTAACGAATGCACCATATACTATTTAGATCTATTAACCAATATGTCATTTACTACGTGTTTACAAAAAGAATGGTCTATATTGTATATAACTTAAATTTTTTTCATTTTCTTTTAAAAAAAGAGTTGATCAAGTCGATTTTTTAATACTAATTTAATATTATTTACATTATGATAAAGATTAAAAAATAATAATTGATACTCACTTTTATATTTTTCTATCTTTTTTAGAAAATTTTAAAAATACCCCTAAGCACAAATCGATTCGTTAAAATCTATTTTTTTCAATAATTTTCAACTTCATTTGAGTGTGTTTTATTTTAATCAC